AGGACTACTTGATTTTTCCTCAACGGTCCTGCCGCGATGGCTAGAGCACAGACGATTAGAGAACGGGGACTGAGCCTTGGGAAGGAGAGGGACCCGTGAGAGAGCGCAGAGGCGGTATAAAGGGCTGAGTTCAAGTAGTCCGCCGACCAGGGTGAATAACGGCCGCGGAAATCTTCGACCATAGCTCTCTACCATGCGAGAGTAGTGCCGAGAGTGAACATCCGCGCGGAGAGCACAGACGGCACGGCATGGCGAGTGTGAATGTCCGCGCGAGAGATCGTCTCTGATCGGGCAGAGAATCCTCGACGTGCCGTTGAGGAATCCTCAAGCGATATTCACCCTGCCGTCGACCCTGAGAAAGATACCTGAGGTTCCCGCAGCGAAAAGTTTCGCGACACGGTCGACGGACTGCTTGAATCTGGTCACTCGGGGCTTTCGTCTGCGTACTCTCGCCTTATCAACGGCTTATGATCGCTGTGATTTCACACATTCAAACTTTTGCCACAGCATAGTCGGCTCACCCGCCTCGGAGTCTCTAAGGCTTAATCCTAGGGCTCTGTTCTGGCATGCCACCAGAACCTTCCCACCTAATCTCACCTACGCACTCATCTCAACACCTCACCACTCCTTGAGCACATAAATGTCACTCAAATGATACCACAGGCGCGGCCTCGTTTGAGACTGAGAGGCACGCCCAGAATCCAAGCTAGACAATAAACATTCTACCACTGTATTCCCCCGAACCACAACGATATTACAAGAAGTCCTTAAATCCCTCTTTGGGACTTTGGAGCCGAGTCAGGCGCCGTTCCCGAGTCGTCTGTGGTCTTCGCCATTCGTGGCAGGACCATAAAAGAAAGTCCAAGTAATCCGTAACCGCGAGCGAAAAGCAGTGCTGGTAACGAACCACATTCCTGAGCCAGGGCCTAAGAAGAAGGCTCAAAAGTGCCGAGCGTTGGACGCTGCTCCTCCCCCCTTCCTAGGCTTGGGCGTGGTCCCTTATAAGACGCTTCTTTGCCGCGTGGTTCCTCCCCATATCACCTAGCACGGAACTTATTACTTTCACTCAAATGCGTCCTTCTCGGACTTATTCCATGCGAATTTGGTACAGGCGAGGTTTAGGCACAACACGTAGTGAGGTAGTGAAGTTGTAAAATCCCTGATCACGTGTGCACTACACAATGTACATTTTTTGTGCTGCTGTGGATTACGGTGTCAATGAACAGGTGGGCCAGCTTATTTTGAGGGTCGAGTTTACAGCGAACACCAAAACGCAAACTTCTTTCCTCGACTTCTTCGTTTCACAGGAAAAAAGTCGTTATTTATTTTTTTAAGCATTTTGAAAAAAATGTTCAGGTTTGCTTTTCTTCGAGAAATGTGTGTTCCGTTTGTTGAAGGACAGTTCCCTTTCGAAATTCATGTAATTTTTTCCATGGAACGTTGAATACCAGGTAATATGGTTTATCAGTTTCTCGATTGAAGCCATTTCTATGAATACTCCCCTTATAGGGAAGTTCAAATCTGCAAGGATGTTCGATTTTTTTCACACACTCACTTCCCGTTTAACGCCCGCCTTCTTTACAATCATGGCGAGACGGTGGAACCATCTGTTACGCCTAGTGTTCTCTTATCAAACCCTCTAATCACATTCAGTGTAAGTTCATAATCACCGTCTTTATTCACCTAAAAAACTTCTTGCCTACCATTATCCTCAAGCTTTTCTTCAGAATAATCTAGTTCAAAGTTACCCTTCAATGCTTTCAACATGTGGAATTTTGCTTACGATATTTTTTGAACCCAGTCATTCCTCATGATTGGCCATTCCCTCTAGCCATTTCTTTCATCGTCGTGTCTACTGTGATTAACACATTGTAAAGAACTTTTTCGCGTAATTTTCAGGGTATTATCAGAGAAATGGTTCTGTCGCGGCTAGGAAACAATTCCCTCAAACATTCATGTGGAGTGAGTCGCCTATCACATTCCCTCTCCTTGTGAACGAAACAGATGTTTTCAGCGGGGACCATTTTTAGTCCTTCTTCACCGTTTTTCCACATCACCATCTCTCAAAGTTAAGATCTACTCTAGTGCCAAGGAAGCCGTGCAGGATATACCTGATAACGCGAAGTTGCTTGTTGGAGGTGGGTGATTTATTTAGTTTGGTCGAATGATCGCGTTCTGATGAAGTCAGGAGGCTTTCTTTCGAGCCTTGCCTTTTTAAGACCATGAATTCTTCTCTCGCATGTTCTATAGGTTCAGCAGTGTTCGTATCTTTGGTCGTTGACGAAGTTGGGAACACCGGATTCCTTCTTTCACTTACGTGTATAGGGGAAGTTCCAGCGTTATCCTCTCCACAGCGAGTTGGATAGCGCTGACCGCATGCCAGGGGACAGAGCTGATGTTCATGCTAGTTCCCGGAATAGTGTCATAAGCGCTGTAATCAAATGTTAAGTGTAACGCTGTGAGCGGCTTGCTCAACCTGTGTGACCGTGTAATATACATTTCAAGGTCTTTATACAGAATTAAACGACTCACTGATGCAAAAAGAGAATATTTTTCAGGCTTCGGATTATGTGGAATCCCAGAGAATCTTGATCCACGCGTTAAGTGAGACTGGACAGAAAGGTCTGACATGCGTCTCGAATAATGCAGGCGTGGATGATTGGGGACTGGGAATTCTTCTCAAAACGCGACAGGTTACTTTTATCATATATTGCTTCCGAGACGCATATGTCATGCCAGAAATTGACTGGTGTGATTTCAATTCAAAAACATTTTGTTTGACAAATGATTGCCTTTACATTGAAATCTAGAAGTCCATGGTCTCATTTTTTTGTAGTTATTTCTTATTTGCTTCCAACTTAATGTTTTCAGATAAAGAAGATGATTTCCTCTTATGTTGGTGAAAATGCGGAATTTGCGCGGCAGTACTTATCTGGCGAACTCGAGCTGGAATTCACACCGCAGGTTGGTTACAGTTTATTTGTTTTTTTTTGCAAGGTATCTTCGAGAAGAGATCAAAGATGACGTGGAATGAAACTCCTTCTGCAACAAAATGTTGCAACCCAAGTCTAGACTCCATAGGCGATGATCTTTAATCCTTTAATCCGCAGCGTTTTTATTCTAGCATTCTTACCGCACGATAATGGTGGTTAAGGGTGCCATATTTTGTGAGGAACAATGAACGGCTAAGTTTCGCATGAAGTAGAGTTCGGAATTTGTTTCGTGCTAGATTGAGTTGTTGTGCTTCTTCTACGGCTTAGTATCCAACTTTTGATTTGTGACGGTCAGGAGACTATATATTCAAAATATTGTAAGAACGTGAATGGTAGTTACTGAGAAGAATTGTTACTTTTTGTGTTCGTTCTTTGCACCAACTTCGATGTGTGATGTATGGTGTTCTTATCTCTTCTAATCGGTGCTCCTTCCGTTCAAGATTACACCACCGAAACAGGTTTCATTGGGCGTTAAGGTCAAAATGTTGATGTTACAGGGCACGCTTGCTGAGCGAATTCGAGCAGCAGGAGCTGGAATACCAGCATTTTATACTCCAACCGGGTATGGAACGCTGATACAGGAGGGAGGTGCTCCGATCAAGTACAGTCGAACAGAAAAAGGAAAGATCGAAATTGCAAGTCCTGCTAAAGAAGTGAGTTAGGTGAGGAACGGCCTGACAAAAATGTGGGTTTACTTGTGAGGGGCAGGTGTGTCACCCAAGCACATGGCAGATGTGTATTGACCAATGGACGGGTTTTACTGCCAAATGACTTTTCTGTGTATAGTGTCCACCCCTTTATCCTTTCTTCTTTTTTTATTAACACTTTGGAGACCGCGCGTGTTTTACGTTCCGCGGCCGCGCGGGACTTCGGTGAAATTTTTAGGGATCTTATCTAGCAAATTCAAAAGAAGAACCCACTGTATAATGCAGAAGAAATCTTATCGGATAAAATGGAAAAGAAAATGAATGAAAAACCTAATAATTGTTTACGAAATGCGAGCTGAAAGGTCCTATGCGGTCGGAGGACTGCAGCCCACATATGGGCTGCGTGGGCTCCAAGGTGTTAATAAGGCTTATTACTTTCAATTCTTACTAGTTGATGGTAACTAAGCCATTAATACTTTAGACCCGTGTTTTTAATGGATATAATTACGTAATGGAAGAGGCAATCTGGGGAGATTTCGCCCTCATCAAGGCCTGGCGAGCAGATAAACTTGGCAACATTCAGTTCAGGTAAGTTGTCATATTGAGTTTGTCTACAACAAGCTTTTCCGTCATATAAAGCGAAGGCTTCGGAAGTCTTATTCAGAAGGAGGGGCATGTAGTGATACAGCTCCACCCAGAAGAACTCCAATTTTGCAAGGGATGGGACCTTGGTGTGCGTGAACCATTTTGCTTCCACCTTTACACTAACTCTGGAGCTTCTTCCCTTGTGGGAAACTAGATTATTGTATGAAATATGTTCTGCCGCACCCCATCATCCTCCTCAGTGGATTAGACCTGGTTCCGAGATTGTAAAGGGTGAAAGGGGCCAATGGCCAATTAATAGAGCTTAAACTGTCTCCATAGTTTGCAGCAAGCGCACGTTTGTCACAAATTTCGCGCCGTGTACCGCATCGCAGGCTCCACGATCACTGCTCGCTGTGTGGTGCGACGCTGGAGTAGATTTTCACCTTGAACCGACTCAATGACTCCCTGCCAGATCCTTCTTGCGAAATCATCCAGCGGACTGATGCAAATTCCCTTTCGTGGATTCTCCAAACTTCTAAAACGTTGACTATAAATGCCGTTCTACCCTTCTGGAGAGCTGCATCTACCGATTAGAGGTGGCATGGTAATACTCACCTTGGTCGCCAACTGAGAATAGTGCCGTAGCTTTGTTGGGGTCACTGCTTCATCACGTTCCTACCTTGATAAATCTGTATTTATAGGCTGACAGCCGGCAATTTCAATAACGCTATGTGCAAAGCGAGTAAATGTACGATCGTTGAAGTCGAAGAGATTGTCGAACCAGGAGTCATCGAACCCAATAATGTATGTCGTTGCGAGTTTCATTTGCTAATCTTTTATTATGCCATTAGCTTGCTTTTGTTATTACGTTTTTTTACTCATCCTCTGTGCAGGTCCACATTCCATCCATTTATTGTGACCGACTCATACTTGGCAAGAACTATAAGAAGCCCATTGAGCGCCCAATGTTTGCTTCGGTGAGTGTTGTATTTCCACCGAGTCTTATTTGTCTGCTGACAACATATAATATTATGCAAAAATGTGAATGGAATTGGAGTGTTCGTTTCCAGAACGGTACACCCAAGCCATCTAAATCTCCTGGCGATCGAACTCGCGATATTATAGCTGCTCGTGCTGCACTCGAGTTCCGTGATGGAATGTATGGTTCGTGTGTATATGTTTTTGTAACAGGTTCATTCTGATGAAATCTGATTGTATCGTCAAAAATAATGATTTAGTTAACCTCGGTATTGGGATTCCAACGCTGACACCTAGTTATATTCCTGAAGGTGTACATGTTCATCTTCAAAGTGAAAATGGCGTTATTGGGGTGGTGAGTCACTT